GGACAGAGCAGAGTTTAGGGCTGTTGTACATAGGGTCGCTATGAGTCGCAAGCGACTCGACGGCACATAACAACAACATCAACAACAACACAACCTCTGGGATTGCAGTGCAGCTTCTTGCTACCAGGCCACCAGAGCTCCCTAATGCTGGTATATCTTAATGGTGGCCCCACACTCTAGAATTGAGCTGCAGAAGATCTAACTCTGTGAAATCTAGGAGCTAGGGTGCCAGAGAATGATGAACCTTTCTTAAGACATGGATGTCCTCTTTGGAATTCAGTACATTAGAGGCATCTTCCAGCTGCCTGAGGGCAGCATCCATGGGGGACCACGGAGCCCTGGAGGAAGGCAGGAGCCATCTCTTAGGGTTTTGTGTCTACTTTCAATGTCCCAGATTCTTAGTCAGGCCAGAGTTCAAGATCCTGCATGACTGACCCAACACATGAACCTCACTGCGGCACTCACTGAAAACTCTTCCTGGGGCAACAGGCGATAGGAGGCAAGGATCTTATCATCTCTAGCATAAATTCAGAGCACTGCACCTTCTTGGCAAGAAGCTGCACTCCAATCCCAAAGGCACGCGGTTCAAGGTCACCAGCTGCTCCGTGGGAGAAGGATGGGCAATCACCTCCCATGCGATTAACTGCCTCTGAAAACTCGCTGGAGGGTCAGCTGTGGGTTGGTTCCAACTCTCTGACAAACAACACCAGCAACCCTTTTTACTGGGGAGCTCTGGTGGCCTAGTGATAAGAAGCAGTGCTGTAAACCCAAAGGCATGCAGTTCGAATCCACAAGCTGCTCGGTGGGCGAAGGGTGGGCAGTCTTCTCCCCTGGAGACTGAACTGCCTCTGACATCCTGCCTGAGGGTGAGCTATGAGGCAGTTCTGACTCGATGGCACAAAGCAACAGCAACAAATACTTTTTTTAACTAAAACATCGTTGAGCACGCCAGGGACCGACATTAAGGTCTGCAAGGCTGCATCTGCCTGGGGATGAAGGAGTTACTCAGGAAACCTTCTGTGGCTGCCACTTGCTACGGAACGGGCTCTCTCTCTTAGTGATCAATCCCACACACGACAGAATGAAACTGTGACTGACGCTATGTCATCCTCACAGTCTCTGCACTTAAGCCCGCTGTCCCGGTCACTCTGTTTATCCATCCCGGTGATGGTCTTCCCCTCCCGGCTTTTCCAAGAATGATGCCCTTTTGCCCCTCAGTGACCACCTACCTCCACTTCTTCATACACGGCCAGTGGGTGGCCACGCCTTCCAAAATCACAGGCTTCCCTGGAACCAAAAAGTGTTTCCGGAAATACTCAAGGGACGGGCAGTGAAGTCGGGGGACCGGTCTTCCCAGCGTCACATCTGGAATCAAAACGTGATTGCTCCTGGCTCTCTGTTTGAAAGCAAAACAAAACAAAACAAAACAAAATGACAATCGGTGTCCTGGGTGAAAAGACAGGGTAACAATGGGCAAGGTCCAATGGCAATTGATTTTATAAAATATAATGCATGGGAATGGTCGTATGAAACACAATGTGAATGAAGAATAGTGTCAAACACAATGTATACAAACTTTGTAAGCAAACCAATTTTTAAAAAAGCAAAAAAAAAGCAAAATAGAATGCATATGAATGATTGTGTGAAGCACAATGTAAACAAAAGATTGTATAAAACACAATGTATATGAATAAAAAAAAATTACAACAGTTACAACAGAGAGTTAAAGTCTGAAGCATTCCACAAGGAATCTGCATTAATGGCAGCACGGCCTCGGTACCAGTAAAAATAGTAACAGATGGGATCGGGGTCCTTTTTCCTTTACCATTTCATCAACCAACTTATTTTTTCAAATTATAAAAGCAATATATTGTTTTGTTTCCGGAAACTGCAATTACAGCGGACGAACCTCAGAATCTCTACCACATACACACGATCTTTCCCCTGTATATTCCTTCCTCGTCTTTTTTCACACACTTATCTCTGATCACCTGGCCGTCAGACTGATGATGAATGAGCACAGCTCTAGCTCCGCTATCCAGTAATTTACCTAAAGCCATCTCCATGCTGCACAAGTCCTTAGCTTTCTGGAGTGGCTGCTCTGTGACTGACTTAACCGTCCCCTGAACAGACAACTGGGGCGAGTGACTTCATGTCCTGAGCCCCGGTGGCCTCTTCTGCTGGGAAGTTGAGCTACCTGGTCAGCCTCGTGCTCCCGGGCTGGACTCTACGTGATGCGTTTGCGGGAGCAGCTTCAGCAGTGACAGTGAGTACACTCACCACCCACCGCTGTCACGGCGAGGCCTTTACACTGTGTTCTCTTTTCAGGGGAGGCTTTTATGTTCACCTAGCCTGACATCAAAGACGCTTCCCCTGAGCACCTCATCACAGCACCGACTCCGTCATCTTGGACAGCTTTGCTAGGACATAAATTCCAGGCAGACAGGGCCAAGACCAGCTGTACTGTTCCCTCTGCCCTAAGCACATCTGGGCTCAACAAGGCTGCTGAACAAAGCCCATTGGACAGGTAAGGGGACAGAGGTGGTGAGGGGCCAAGCCACTCACCTGAGCCACACATAGTGAGGGGAAGGCCTCCCCCAAGCCTGAGCTCTTACCCCTCTGCCTCACAGAGCGCCCCAATACTGCCCAAAGCTGGAGGCCCCCCTGGGGTGTGAAGCCTCACATATTCCCTTTGGATAGACTCAGCAGAGGGAAATACATGGTCCTGAGTAAAGGGGATGATGGATGTTGGTATGTGCTGTTGAGTGGAATACAACTCGCAGCGACCCTATGAACAGACCTGAACCCTGTCCCGCGCCATCCTCATCATCTCCGACCCACCTGAGCCCATTGCTGCAGCCATGTTCCCTATATCCGTGCGTCACCCCGGCCTTCTGTGACCCTCGCTATCAGTGGCTACACCATTGCCTGTTAATCTAACAGCCAGAAAGAGGATCCTGCTCCTTGTCCTGTTTACATCTCTCTCTTCTCATCAGAGGCGAGGTCAAACATTTCTCTTTACGTGCGTGCATTTAAGAGAACTCCCTGTGAACTGGCCGCTCGAGCTCCTGAGGTCTAGGAACTTTCCCTGTCCACTTGTGCAACGACTTCTCCAGAGCCAAAGACATTCACTCTCTGCCACAGGTGCTGGAACTCTCTTTTCTCAGTCGGTAGGATTTCCTGTCTGTTTGGTTACACGTGTGTTCAGTATTAAACTTCCCTTTGCATTTCTTTTTTCCTGATATGAAAGTAATAATCACCATAGGAAGACACAGAAAAGTGTTTAAGGAGTAAAGTTAAAAGCACTTATAATTCCCACCCGAGCGTGCAGCACGGCCTGGCTCTTTTCTTCCTGGGGGTTAAGACTCTGCTATTTTACAGATAAGACTGAGACTCGGAGGAGTGAACTGCCTTGCTGGGGGAACTGGGAGTGGGGCCTGCGTCCAAGGTGGGGTCCCTGGAGCCCTGTCTGCAGGTAACTCAGGTGCTTACAGAGACACATCAGAAATAACACCGGCAAGGATCTAAGGCAGGTGACAGCAAGCTGGCCAGGAAAAGGCTGGAAGCAATGGGCTGAGCTGTCAAGGGCTCACTCACACTAACTCCCTGTGTTGTTTCCCCACCTTCCCTCTTTCCTGAAAAGGGATTAATTTTACAAAAAATCAAGATTGATTTATATCTATCTCTATCTCTAATCTATATCTAATCTCTATCTCTATCTATCTATTTTTTAAACTAAGAAGTTAGCCAGAGCTGCTCTGGTTCTAAAATCCACGAAGTCAGCTTGTGGAGAGTCACCTCCAGACTCTTCCAGAGAAACTGCTGGTTGGATCCCCTTAGGGTGCTCGGCTACGCGTCCCCCCAGTACCTTTGTGTCCGGTTGCTCCCCGGGTGGGCCAAGGGCAGGCCTCTTCTCAGGGCGAAGGTGTGCCTGGAGGATGGCGGCGACTTTGAGGAGGATGTCCCCGAGGATGGCCGCCCCCATGAGCAGGCCCATGTCGCAGACCCTGAGCGCGGCGGGCACGGTGGTTTTGTCCTCGGGTGCCTCGCACAGACACACGGCCTTCAGGAGGCAGCCGAAGCTGTACACTCGGCGCCAGCTCTTGTCCACGTCCTGCCATGGGCCCGTGTTCAGCTTCTCCCAGGAGTAGTCCAGGATCACCTCACTCGTCTGCAGACACTCGTCCCGTCTGTCCCCGTAGAAGAGCTCGGTGGCTTGCTGCAGCAAGAGCCTGACACTCCTGTCCACGTCCTCACCCACGTCCAACTTCAGGTCTTCCTTTGTGCTGGGCAGGAGCGCCCTGAGGGCCTCCCAGAGGGCTCCAGGGCCTCCTTGGAGGTTTCCAGGGCCTGCTTGGGGGTTTCTGGGGCCTGCTTGGGTTTCTCTGGGGCTTGCCTGAGGGTTTTCCCGTTCTGTCGAAGTGTCTCCTTCTGCCATCGACTTCAGCCTCACGGTGCCTGATGAAGGAAGAAACAGGGGAGAACAATACAGACTAGATGCAGCTGTGGTCCCCTAAGACACATCCCCCTGGCTCCCGGTCTTGTCCTTTCTAGTATGCATCTCCTCTATGACAATTTTCCAACAATAACCTTCTGTGGTGGGCACAAACCCTCCAAGGCAGGGCCCATACTCACCTGGACCACACTGTATCCTCAGGGTCTGTCCAAAGAGGGGCAGACACTCTCCTTGCCTGGAAGGGCTCAGCATCCTTCCTCCTGCCTGGCAAAATCCCACCTCACCTGGAGGGCCCACTGAAAAGGTGTGGAGCCTGCCAGGACTCTGAGCATGTTCTGTGTTACCCATGTGTCAGCCTCGCTTGCAGCATTTGTCACAACAAACACCCACTTGTGTGTTTCTCTGGGACTAGGCCTGAACTCCAGGATTCGAATGTGCCTCATCTTTGCACGGCCTGACGCCAGGCCCTGGCTCTCCCCAGGCACCACGTCCCGTGTTGGGTTGCCTCGGTACAGTTGGTGCAAATGGTTAACATCCTTGATTGCCACCTGAAACGGCGGAGTCCTCTCCAAGGTGCCACACAACAAAGGCCTGGCAATCTACAGCTGAACAACAAGCCTTTGGGTGGACCCGAACCTCCTGCCGTTGAACTTGTAACTTAGCATGTTGACTGTCAGCTTCCAGGAGGATTCAGATGGACCTTATGTGAACTTCAACAGCCTTCTTGAACTTTCTGAAAGCCTGCGGTGTAACATCCCGGGGCTGTCTCATTCACTGGCCCTGCAGGTGATGGCCAGTGAGCCTTACAAGAGGGACCCACAAGCTGGTTTCCCCGGGTGTTTTATTTCCAACGTGTCTTAGAGGAGGAGACCAAACAGCAACCTCAGCAAGCCTCATTTGGAGCATCTAAAAGCCTCAGGGGCCTCCTGGCCCGCCTTCTCACAAAGGCCTATAAAAAGGCTCCCAGATGACCACTTCTCCGCCTTCCCATAAAACCAGCTTCCACTGGGGCCGCGTGTACCGGCTTTGTAAATTGGTCTCTTAGAATGGCTTTATAAAACCACCTCCCAATGGGCTATCAATGAGTTTTCCAAGGGACACGGATTATGGGCTTTGTCAAGAGGCTTCCCAGGATGGCCTTACAAAGCGGCGCTGCCTCACGTGGACTTTCCTGAGGTGTCCACAGGCCTACTTCCTTAACCTGCCGGCTTCATGTGCTGCTCCATAACCTGGCCCCTCAAGGGGGCCTCAGGCGTGGTCTTCACAAACAGGCTGCTTACACTGCTTGGCACCTGGGCCTTGGAGGCCTGTCTGTGTCATGCTGGCCATGCTGTCTACACCCTCTTGAAGACTATCGAGTGCTCTCAGGGAAAGAGGCCTCAGTCGGCTGTACAAGCCTTCTCCTGGCCCCATGAAATAACCTTAGAATAATCCCTGTGTTTCTCAGCAAATGCCCTTACAGAAAGGCCTTCCCTTATATTGGTGTATACGATGGCCTTCCAGGGCTAGGAGCTCAGAGGAGCTCTAAGCATGGCTTTCCAAGTCTTTCCGTATGAGCCATGAGAAACAGTCCCCCGAAGGGCCTCCAGACCGAGCTTACACACTGGCCTCCAAGAGGACCTTCTGTGGCAACATGGAGCAACCTTGCAGAGTTCAGGGGCATGCTGGCCTTGTAGCTGTGAAAGTTTTCCACAGAGGCCTTGTAGCTTCTTTCAAATACCAGCCTCTTTACCTCTTGGAGCCTTCTCTGAAGGCCAGCTGAAATAGCCTCTCAGACTCTTAGTTCTGGAAATCAATCACTCATACAGTGTCGTCGCTGCTGTGTACTGGCAAGATAGAACCAACCCACCAACCCACAGCTGACCCTCCAGCAGGTTTTCAGAGGCAGTAAATTACACGGCAGGAGAGACTGCCCGTCCTTCCCCACAAGGTAGCTGGTGGATTTTAACTGCATGCCTTTGGGATTGCAACACAGCTTCTTACCACTAGGCCACCAGAGCTCCCGAATTTCAAGTATAAATGACCTTCAGGGAGAAGTGGCCTTTATTCACTGTGTGAAACACTTTTCCGGAGAACAGGTCTCACAGGTGACCAATCATTTGCGAGGGTCTTACAAGTGCAGGCTGTATGAGTTATCTAAGTGGTCTCAGAGCCTGGCTTTACAAACCAGCACGCTCCGTGGATTTCAGCTGATAAGAAGACTCCATGATGGGTGCACCAGTGTTTCCAAAGGATCACCCTATGCAGCCCTGTGGCCTGGCTTTATTGATTGGCTTCCCAGAGCTCCTCACTAGATTGCCTTTTTAAAAAGTTATGCATCAGAGAGTTGGACAATGACTAAGGAGGTTAGAAGGAGAATTGATGCCTTTGAGCTGTGGTGCTAGAGAAGAGTACTGAATGTACCCTGGACTGCCAAGAAAACAAACAGATTCATCCTGGAGAGGGTTAAACCAGGCTGTTCCTTGGAGGCAAGGATTCTGAGGCTTCGTCTGACATACTTTGGACATGTTGTAAGGAGGGATAGGTCCTTGGAGAAGGACATCATGCTTGGGTGGGTGGAGGGACGGCGCAAAAGGGGAAGACTCTCTATGAGGTGGACTGATTCAGTGACTGGGGTAATCGGGATGGGTGTGTCGGAGGCAGTGAGATTGGCACGGGATAGAGCAGGGTTTAGGGCTGTTATACATAGGGTCACTATTATGAGTCACAAGCGACTTGACGGCACATTAACAACAACAATACTGAAAACCAGCTTTTCGGGGGAGGGAAATCCGGCAGAAGTTGTATGAGATAATCTTTCAGGGTGGCACCAGACTGAGGCCTTTAAATTGGCCTCCCAGAGCTCACTACCAAGGGCTGACCAGGGCTTGGACTAACGGCCTCACTGCTGTCACATGCCTGTTGCTTGATGCCCATGAGTCAGTTTTGACTCTGGAAACTTCACCATTACAGAGACCCATTCCACAGGGGTTTCTAGGCTCTGACCTCAACAGGAACACACTATCAGATCTTTCCTCCCTCCATAGTACTGGGTGGGTTGGAACAGCTAACTTTTCAGTTAAACAAACAGCCTGTGCTCCCTGGGGACCTTGTCAGGTATGCCGTTCTTGCTGTGTGTTGCTAGGCTGATGGCAACACAGAGTGACCCTACATGTGACAGCACAGAACTGCCCCTTGGGACTTCCAAGGCTGAAATCTTCAGGGGACAGAGTGTCAGGTCTTCTCTTCTGTGGAGCAGCTGATGGATTTGAACTCCTGATCTTTCACTTAGCAATCAAGCAGTTAAACCATGGCACCACCACAGCTTCTTCTGTCAGGTATAACTTGAGGCCGTTAATTCAATTCATGACCCATAGTGACCCTATAGGACAGACTGAAAACTGGACCATCGGATTTCAAAGCTCCAATCTTTATAAAAGCAGACAGTCACATATTTCTCCCCCTGAAAAGCTGGAGGGTTTGATTTGCCAGGCAGCCAACTCAAAGGTTAGTCGTTCAAATACACCAGCTGCTCCTTGAGAAAAAGGTGGGTAGTCTCCCTCCATAAAGACTAACAGCCTTGGAGAACTGGTGGTGGGTCATTATGAATCAGAACCAACTGGATGGGAGTGGTGATCTTTGGGTTAGCAGCTGAGTGTTAAAATCACTGCACCACCAGGGTTTTTGTCAGGGGAATAAAATTATTCCAAACCAGGGGTGTTAACATTTATATTGAGCCAACAGTCATAAGCTTGGGTCAGCAGGTGTTCTGATGTCCGATCCTCTGCCCACACCTTCCCTCCCGTGTCCCCTCGGCGCCACCGTGGGCAGCATTTCCAAGGGCCCAGCTCCAGGGCGATGACAATGGTGCCGGAGCGACAACTAGTATCTACTAAAACAAAAGTCATATCATCATGCCACCAAAACTACATGGAGAATTACACAGGATCAAAACATTCTCTAGCTTAGTTTTTGCAAGCGCACTACCGTAAGAACACTACGCATGCGCAGCTTCAACCCGCGGCAACCCGAAGGACGGCGTAAGCTTTGCGGCATTACTAGTGCGCATGCGCGGCTTCCCGTCTCTGGCTTTAGAGCGGTCCAGTACTACCAAGACGCATGCGCACAGCTGTCCCGCTGCTATCTTCTGTCATTCCAGGGCGTCTGCGCAACCCTCCTCTTCCAACCTCAGGCCCTTCGGTTTATACGGGGTCCGAGCTGCCCGCCCTCTCGAGTTGTACAAACTGACCTCTCCGGTTTGGGGTGGTGTCGAGATGCCCCAGCGCTGGCGAAGCCTTGTTTTGTTAGAATTGTTCTGCTCGCTCTCTTTCCACCTATTCAAAGGCTTGCACGAGGAGTACCGAGTAGTCAGCGTGTCTGATCGTGAAGGCGGCCTAGGAGCGCCGAGTGATCGATGTCGGGGCCCCGCCCCTTCCTATTAAAAAGGCTCGAGCGCGCAGTTGTAGGAGGGTTGGGGTTTTTCTGTTAGATCTCAGTGAATGGCACCTGCTTTCTCCTCTGCAACCTGAAATAACGGTGTAAAAAAGCAGTTTCACGTCCACCATTTTGCTTAAGAGCTGTAACTGGAATTATTCTCCCCATTTGATAGAGATAAACCGAGGCTTATTGAATGAAATAAACTATCCAAATACTCAGGGAAATTATGTGCACTGGATCTGAACCTTTCAAGCGCTGCCACTCCTGTTGGTGTGAGAAGAATACGTTATAATGTGGAGTGACAGGTAAATGGTAGTCAGGCTTGGCCTTGATGCTGAGTGGTGCAATGGTCGCTGGGAGTTTTGGCTTTTGTTCTGGTGGCTTTAGTGGTAAGGCATTGCGCTGCCCGTGCAAAAGTACGAGGTTTGAACCCACCAGGTGCTCCGCGGGAGACAGATGGACGGACAGTCTCCTCCCATGAGATTTTTCTGCCTCTGAAAACCCATGGGAGGGTCTGCCATGTATTGCTTTCGATTGGGCGGTACACAACAACACAACAACAACAA